ATCTGCATATCTTATGTTGTTCAGTTTGCACCCACTAATAATAAATCCTTGTAGGACTTTCAGTTCTCTCAGGATCATCTTATTGTAAATTTTGAATAAGTCTGGTGAGAAGACACATCCTTGTCTTACATCCATTTCTATTTTTGTGTATTTACTGAATTTATTTTCTATTTCTATACATATGGTTTCCTTCTAATATCTTTTTTAATATCTTTCCCAAATAAATCATGTTTTTCTAACAGTTCAAACACTTCTTTATGTTGTATTAAATTACATAGCATGCACTCATAATTCCTAGTTGGCAACTTGCTTCTTTTTCTTGCCCTCCTCCCCACTTATCTCCAGACTCAGTAATGGTGTGTAACATACAGTGTGGCACAGTTGTAGCTCAGATATCGTGGGTCATCCAAGGTGACTAACACAGGATTAAATAGATTTGTCTACTTGTAAAAATTAGGGAAAAATCTTCCAGGGAATAATTTTTGTAGATTAGCATCCATGAAACAAACTGCTACATTTGTTAGAATCAAGAAATATTGATTTTTCTATCAATTTAGAAGGGGTCCTGTTTATAATATTGAAACAGTGTCAAATTGATTCATAACTTTAATAGAGTTATCTGCACTTTTTAAACTTTTTATTTACAAATGTTTTGCTTTGAAAATGTCCTTATGTCACTGACATCTGCATATATTTTTTATTAATTTATGTAAATTTTTCATCTGTAATTAAACATGTGGCACTAATTTAAATATGTGTACATATTTGTTCTTTAATGACAAAAATCTTTTTGTAAAAAACAAAAAATATAATGAAAAAATCTATTTTGCAAAACAGTTTCTTTAAAATATTTAAAAATAAAATGCATAAAAATGTACATATCTATTTTTTATTTAAAAGAAACCTTTTTGTAAAATAAAAGAAAGTCAGGGATTGAATTTATACACTGTATCGATATCATAATCTAAAACAAAGAAAGAAAAATATTAGTAGTTTTTGATTCTAACAAATGTTGAAGCCTAAAAAAAGGTTTTAATGTTCATCTACAAAAATTATTCACCCTCCAAATTTTTCCCTCATTTTTTTTACAAGTGGATTTGTCTATTTAAATAATTCTATTTTCGTTATTGCAGCTTTATGCAAGATTTGAAGTGAATTTTTAGAAGATTCTTTCTCTGAAGAACTTATATAATATTGAAAAAATGCATTTGAAATTTATTTTAATTGTTAAATAAACTAAAAACAACATAAATTACATGAATTAAAATAAAAAGCTAAAAAATAATTCAAATGAAAATTACTTTTTTATTAAATGACCCCATAACATTTAAAATAATTTTAAATCTTGAATTATATTTTTCTTTTTCAAATGATTTCTATGTCTATAGTTGATTTCTTAAGTCACTATGGAAATAGTTCCCTTGTGGGATCACTTCATACCAGAAGGGATTGCCTTGTGTTCAGAGGAATAAAAATATACAAAGAAATAACACTAAAAGCATGTTAAATTGTAAATTAAAATCATATAATTTTATTTATTTCTGTGTACTGGCATGTGTGTATATTTTAGTTATGTGTTTTAAGGTTGCATGTAATAGAGGAAGAAAGTCACTTTGTTTTAGGACAAGCAAGGTTTCAAGGAGAGGAAATGGACATCTTGTCCCTTTGAATCTGTTTCTCAGGCAGGAAAGTTGCATGCTGGGAGAACTTTTATTATTTTGGTTTTATTTATTTTATTTTAAACAAAGTTTTAATGTTATTTATTTTATTTATTATTATTTTATATTTATTTATTAATATATTATTATGTCATGTAAGTCAACTTTTAGATCTAATCTCTTTGAATGAGGAACATATTTCATTAATAGTATTTATATGTTTCTAGGGTTTATTATACTTAATGCAAAAAGAGAAATGCTAAAAACAAACAAGTTTAAGTACCTGCATCTTTTTCATGTCATAAAACAGAACTGATTAGTAAAATAATTGGCTTTATACTTTGTATTGTTTAGGTAAAAAATGATATAATTTGCCAGTTACTAAATACAGATTCTTAGCAGCCAAAATCTTTGAAGACAATAACAGCAGTCTTGGAGATAAAAATATCTAAAGCTTATATAAAGTTATTCCCCTTGGTTGATCATTAGTTATCATCACAAAATGGTCTTGAGCCATTTATTCATTGATTAAGTCAGAAGTTTAGCTTCTCTCTTTTGGTTTAGGCTTTACTATTTATTGATTTTAGAGTTGTTCAAAAATGAAATATTACATTTATGGAACTTATTAGCAATTTCAAATAAATTTGATGAAAATATTCATATAAACTAAATTTATTTTTTAATCAAGTGATGCTACAAAGAATTTTTGCATGTAAAAAGAATTGAAAATTTCTTTGCTAAATATCACCCATTCTGTGTCTTTGGTATCAAACAACTGCTTAAAAATTGGATTTCTAAATATAGTAAAATGCATTTGAAATGACAACTCAAAATTAAAACAGTTGAAGCTCTTTCTAAATACTGATTCAAGAAATTCTTTTTATGTTCATAAAATATTTATTTTTTAAATTTCAGTAAGAGAAATGGATTGTGGATTTCTGACTTATTTGTGTGGATTATACAAGCAAGTGAAATCTACACATTGTAACTGGTTAGAATAGGGTTAATTCTACAGCTTAATGTGAAAGGTTGAAGTAATTTGCATTTTATAAGTTGACCAGAAATACCTTAAGATCTGGTTTACATAAATAAAAACCTTTATTTTGAACTAAGGTTTTAAAAAAAATAATAACATTTTGGGAAGTGAACCTAAAATTGATGACAAACAAAACTTTTGATTTCAGCTAATTTGCTGATAAAAGACAGAAAATAATACTTGAAGGATATAATAACAAAAGAGAGAAGGTTTAAGGAAGCTTTATTTTGCTTAGAATAATTGATACCAGTGTAGTGACTATTTATAGTCCTCTACAAATGAAAGAGTTCTCCAAAGGAGGGTAATCATAAAACAAGGGAGATTACTTCTGATTATTTTATTACAAAGGATTTATGTGTTTTGCTGATTATGAATAAAAAAAATCCTTTGTTCAAGAGATTAATGTTTATTGACACTTTCTGACCTGAAAGAAAAACATGTTTGAGTTTGAAATGTGAACTGAAGGGGAAAACTAATAAGGATATTATTATTATTGTTATTATGGGCATGTTATTTAATAAAGACACTAATTGGCTGAATATGAATTATCTGATAACATGCATAACCATGTCCTGATAGTGGTAGTGAGGGATCTAAACAAATATTTTTTATTAAAAACCAGCCAAATTTGAATTGCATATGAGTGTTGTTTGATTGGATAGTGATTCTCAAGGTTTTAACTAATGGGGATAAAAAGAATAAGGACTTAGATTTTGATCTGGCTGAAGTTACTTGTTGCTATATATGAGGGAAAATGTGAGAAGTGATTAGACCGTACCTGAATGTGTAGAAGCTGTTCCAAAAGAAACAGACCACACATTCAGGCAGAGAAAATATTGACTATATCAGGCATGTAAATTCTGCTGCTTCTACTACTGAATGGATTGAACATGTCTAGTGTGTAAAGGTAGTAATCTGGGAGAAAGGATTTGACCATCTAGATGGAAAAGCAATGACCTAGGATAATAAAAGTCTGCTACTATGACTATGAATGCACTACTATTGCTGTTAAAAGAGAAAGTAAAAAAATCTAAATTTGATATGAAAATCTTTTCTAAACATGAGTTTTATCTCATATATGAATAACTTTTATAAACTTGTCTCTTCTGAACCTGTTTGAGTTTATCTTATATTTGAGAACACCTGTTCCAAACAAGTGAGTATTTTGTCTAAAGGACCTAAAAAAACAGCTTCACCTGAGGTAAGCCAACCTTTCTCAATACTTTTAACCTTTGACATTTTGAATTTGTGAGCTTTTCAAAGTAATTTCTTTTGTTGGTAAGAAATTGACTTATATGAACTGTTGCTCCAAAAGAAAATTGTTAAATTTCCTTTATTGTTAAGGAAAATCATTTGTTTTATATGAAGTGTTGTTTTCTAGTAGAAAAAACATTTGTATTTTGAAAGAACTGTTAATCTGCCATGATAGTTTAAGGGGCAAGTCGTATATTGTATTTTGTACAATTTGTATATTGTAAAAATATTTTGTCATTCTATTAAATGTTTGTTTCTTTGCAAATTTCTCTTTAAGAAACTTGTCTTTTTCTTAAGCATCTCTAAAAGTGCTTATAAAGAATAAAAGATTTGAAATTGTCTCTTAAGACAAGTCAAGAGTGTAGAAAGTGATTGATTGGGACTTATGGATCATTAATTTGTTATCTCAAACCCAAGTTATCTGAATAATCTTCAGTTATTCAGGTTTAGTTCTTAGGTAGTTAATAGGAGCAGTGAACAACTAATGAATTGTCAAGCCCCTCCCTCAACTCCATGAGAAATTATCACCAAACAGGTTAGAGAAGAAAAGATTATCCAACTTAATAATTTTCACTCACAAAACAAGTCAAGTGGAGGAAGATAAGGCAGAAAACTAATTTTGGTTTCAGACTTGGCAACATAAATCTCTGTGTGTAATAAAGTCAGTTACTAATCCAATAAAACCAGTGAAGGTTGGCCATATGAGAACTGAATGACTGATCATAGTTAGGAATTTCACATTGTCACTGAATGAGGAAGGGATTAATATTGAAACTTGTAACTGAACAAGTACATTTTGTTATAAATAAACATGGCCTTTTTTTAATCTATCCTTGAAATCCCTTTTATTTTCCTGTGACTTGATTCATTTGGATTGATAGATATTTCAACAAACTTTACCTGAAGATTTGAAATAAGCACAATGTTGCTGACTGGTGGAAGGAGATCAAGCTATGAAAGGAATCCATCTTGATATGTATGTTTACTGAACTTTTATATGATATTTTGTATAAATTGAAAGTTCCACTGAAAGGTTCTGTTGTCTTTTTCAGTCAACTGTTTTGTTATGAAAATGGTATCAGCAAAGTTCGCAACTTGAGGTCAAGAATGAGAAAAGATACTCCAAATGTTTTGCGTCTTTATTATCTGGGAGTGAATGAAATGATAGGTAATTTTCTTATTTATGCTCATGGCTTTCAACTGATTTTTTTTCATTATCTTGTTATGATTCTGGTATAGTTATTTCAGTTTTTAACATAAAATCTAAAACATGTAGGGGTTCCAAACAAGAAGCCCTTCCCCCACAACAATTGTTTAGTCATTTGGTCAGATTTTGGAAAGTGGGTTGTACTAAGAATTTTCTCTATCCACTTTTAAATTTGATTAATTCTATTTTTTCTGCAGGAGATACTGCTTTCCAGTTTTAGCAATTATCCATTTCATCACATACACATACAAGCTTACAGCACCAGGTCTTCCCAAGTGGTTGCCCATCTAGATATTGACCAGGCTTGACTTTCCTTAACTTCAGTGATTGTATAAGAACCAGTGTCTCAACAATATAAATCTTTAAAATTTGAAGATGTAGAAATAAGTGAAAATGGAAAAAAATGGTTTTGAAAAGATAAATATAAATAAAACAGCTTGAGTGACTTTTGACCAAAATTCCAAATTTTCATTACCAAAAATAATGATATTGGCAAATTCAGTTTTAAAAAAAATAAATAATTTAATAAGATTTTTCTGCTTATGTTAATATAAGAAGTATAACTTTTATTTTCTGATTGTATATTCAGACAGTAAGTAAACAATCTAAAGACTGAAAAATTATACAATTATTAATTTTCATTGTAAAAATGATGAACTTTCCACTATGGCACCTAGACTTTATGAATTAAGTGAAACAAGGTCTCATCATTTTATTGTTGAAATAGCATAGAACTTGGTTACATCGAGTCATTGTAATTCTCGCTTGTGGAAGTCTGTTCCAGCTTCGTGCTTCTGAGTCAATTTTGATCATCAAAATTTTAGATGCAATGTTGTTATCTTCTGTCTTCTTAATTGCTGTTCCTTTTTTGTCCACTGTCCTTAATTATAGTTTAATTAGTAACTTCTTGCATCCTAGGGGCTTTATTGCCTTGCTTGGAGTGAAATGATTAAAAAAAAATAAAAAGAACCAAAATCTGGAATATTCTTTTCAGTTTGGAAAATTGTTATTTTTTTTCTGATTAGCAATGATTAAATAAATAATCTTGAAAATCTTAGATCAACCCATATGAATTGTTATGAACTGATAAATTGTGCATAATGTTCAAAATGACCAAGAAAGAAGCAAAAATTCTAAACTTGAAAGTAGAATTTTTAAATCTACTTGATTTAATGTCCTTATTTCTTCTGCATTTTCCCTAAACATTTTACTGGTTCAAGGAACACAAGAAAAAGGTTATTGAAATATTTACATCTTTGTGATATTGGAAAGAGAAGTTTTGAAATATTTACTAGGAATATATTCTGGAAAAACCTAAATCATGGAACATATTGTCAAATTATTTCTTAAAGCCAAGTGTAGTCATTGAGAGTTACTTCCCTTGAAATTTTTATTTTTGCACTTATTTGCAAATGAGCCATGAGCAAATATGAAGGAAAGATTATAGTGTGCCAATCTTTTAAGGAAGGACCATTAGCCCGTCTTACAAACACAGAATTTGAAATCCTAGATTTGAATCCTGTCCACTGCTGGAGAAATATACAATTTACTAAACTTATTTTAATTTGGTACAAGGTCAAAATAGTCTGAGCTAGCAAAGATTAACCTTCTTGCCAGTTTTTCTGTTGACACTGCTATTACTATATATGACCAAGACTATCTCAGTAATTTTTATTTATAAGACTATAAAAATATTCAAACCAATTACAATGTGATATTTATTATTTGCCATTTTATGAAGATTGATTATTTAGCATTTTATAAATAAATAAATTTGAAAATTTTTTTTATAAAAATCTATAAAATTATCAAGATATGTGAACTAAATATAATATTTATTATTTACCAGTTTATAAATAAATATGAAAATAAATTTTATTCATAATATTATAAAAATATCTATGAACCATAGAACAAGAAAATTTAAATAAACATGATTTTTCCTGGTCATTATACATTTTCTTAAATTATTTCATATCTCAGAATACTTTGTTTTCAATTTTTTTATAATTGTGGATGACTATTCAATAGAAATCTTAGGCCTGAAACACTCCAGTATTTATAGGTTACTCTGCTTCCTACTCTTTTTTTTTTTTTTTTTTTTTTTTTTAATTTTGAAATTGTTGCTAATTTTTCTAAAAATACCTAGAAAATTTGCCTATAGATTATTTGTCAGCCGAGTACTGACTGATGAAGAAATTTTAAATGAAGAATGAGCACTAAGCATCTTGACTAAAGCAATTGGAAAAAAACTTGTCAATTGTGTTCTTTGGAATGAGTGGCAAAATATCAGCAAATTGGCAATTGTAAATATGAAATTATTCTTGTAAATAAACAATCTAATAAATAAATTGTGTTTAATTTTTTGTTGTAAATTCTCAAGAACATTAAAATGTATAAATTTACATTCATATTTTTGGGCTTTTTAAAACATTGCCAAGCAAGTGAAATGAATTTACAATAATAGTGGTGTCAAGGAAAAAAAACATTCTTTTGACACTTTATCCAGTTTATGAGACTAGCTTGTTAGTCTTCACTCTACAACAATCATTTTTTTTTAAATGTGTGGTTTAAGCTTGTTTGTGATTTTCAAGTAAACATTTTCTTTTAATATTTGATTAATTTGTCCTTTTAGAATTTATTATTTAGCTAAAAATTGATAAAATGAATTTTAAAAGTTTTCTCTAATATAAAATTGGAAAGTTTCAAATTTAAAAAAAAATCTTAAAAATGTCTATTAACAGAGAAACAAATCATCACTGAAATGTTTACATCAATTTATGAATCATAAAAGTAGTTAAGGAATAAAGCTCTAGTATTTCTTTTAGAATTTTCTTCAGAATTCCAACACTAATATTTGTTGAGATAAAGCACTGAAACTGTTTTTGCACATGTATGCTCAGAGTCTTTCCAGATGATTGTCTTCTCTCTCTTCTAGAAATGATGTCCTCTAAAATCTCAACTTCATATAGAGACAATTTGGCAAATTTAGTTAACATTTCAATAATATAGAAAGTCTAATTGAAGCCAATCCTAGATAGACATAGATATAGTAATAGAAGATGCCAGATGTCACACTAAACCATCAAAGAAGCGAGAGGTGGCTGCTCACTGACATGCAAACATATAGTTGATCCAGCTGCACCCAGAATCTGCATGCATGCATAGGGGAAAAACCCCACATGACAGGAAGATATATTGTCCTCTCCAAAAGTATTGGAATGGCAAATCCAATTCCTTTGTTTTTGTTGTTTACTGAAGACATTAATATCAAAAGATGAATATGAAACAAGAATTCAGAATTTCAACTTTTATTTCCTGCTATTTACATTTAGATGTGTTAAATAACTTCAAACATACCATCTTTTGATTGAACTCATCCATTTTTCAAGTGAGCAAAACTACTGGAACACATGACTGACAGGTGTTTCTTGTTGTCCAGGTGTTGCCTTTTAGATTGATTGTTTAAATACTAAATAGCTCTGAATGAATACTCTTGGTTTTAGCCTTGTTTTAGCTGTAAGGACTGAATTTCTTGTTAAAAAGGCTAAACCAATATGAAAACAAGAGAGCTGTCTATGGAAGAAAAGCAAGCCATTTTGAAGCTGAGAAAAGAAGGAAAATCAATCAGAGCCAAACAGCGAGCATAGTCAACAGAACAATTTGCAATGTCCTGAAAAGGAAAGAAACTACAGACATAGAACAGGTTGGCCAAGAATAACAACAGCCGTTGATGACAGAAACATTATGAGTGCTGTGAGGAAAAAAAACCCAAACAACAGTCAGTGACATCACAAGATGCAAACCACTCATCAACAGTAAGAATCTGAAGTACAGACTGGAATTTGTAAGGAAGTACAGAGATGAGTGACAAAAGTTCTGGAAGAAAGTTTTATAGACTGATGAGACCAAGATTAATCGCTACCAAAGTGATGAAAAGGACAAAGTGTGGAGAAAGAAAGGATCTGCTTATGTTCCAAAGCTCAAAGCTGGAACGGTCTCATTCATATTTACTGATGATGTAACTCATGATGGTAGTAGCAGATTGAATTCAGTTTACAGAAACATTTTGTTTGCCAATTTACAGAGAAATGCATTCCAAACTAATCGGGAGGAAGTTTATCATGCAGCAGGACAATGACTCAAATCAAAGTATTTCATCGGGGGGTGGGGGGAATGTGGACAATTTAGACTGGCCAAATCAGTCACTGGATCTTAACCCAATAGAGCATGCATTTCATCTCCTGAAAAGGTGAATGAAGGAAGAGACCAACCAAAACAAACAAGAACTGAAAGAGGTTGCGTTAAAAATCTGGAAAAGCATCACAAATGAAGAATACAACAGTTTGATGTCAATGGATCACAGACTTGATGCAGTTATTGCTAGCAAATGTTATGCAACCAAATATTAAATGTTATTTACTTTAAGACTATCTGTTCCTTTACTTTTGCTCACCTAAAAATGATGGGATGTGATACAAAAGGTGGTATGTTCTAAGTTGTTTAACTAATCTTAAAAATAAAAAGCTGAAATTCTGAACTCTTGTCCCATATTTATCTTTTGATCTTAAGCCAAAATGTCTTCAGGGAACAACAAAGACAAAGGAATTGGCGTTGCTGTTTTGGAGGGGACTGTATAAACTCCCCTCTCAGATTAAAGCGAGTCTCATACATCCTTGCAAGGAAAGCCCATGTTTGGAGAAAATAGATGTGTGGCTTTGGAACTAACTGATGGTAAATGACAAAGTTTAGGGTGAAATCAACATGAATGTTACACAGGAGAAATTCTATTTCACGTTCACATTTTTTGCTCTCATTTGTAATGTATGATAATAACATAATAGCAGGCAGTAATACTACAAAGAAATGCTACATTTAATCAAAAGTTAACCTAGAGCAATTAAAGCTTCATTCTGTTCCATTATATTTCTACTGAATTCTATTGTTTTTCAGGAGATACTGAAGTCTTAATGGGTCTTGATACATACCTACAAACAGCACTAAGTACTGAGTATACAGAATTACTGGTTCTGGAGATGAAACATTATGAACGTTTATTTCTGCGTCATCATCAACAGACAGTATTGGCCATGCGTCGTTTACTGGATTTAAAATACAGCAGGCGGCTGTTGATGCATGACTGTGAACAACTAGTTCCTCTGCTGTCATATTTGGGTGAAAAACTTAAAGTGTCATGTAAGAAACAGCACCACAATAGCAAAGCAACCTATCAATCTTCCAGTTCCAAAATGGAAGATTTAGTCACAATGTCAGCTGAAATCAAAGATATTGAAAGTGTTCAGAAAAAGTTTCTCCAGCACCAAGGACCAATAATTGATATGTATGCACCAGGAAGTGTTTTCTGTTTAATCAGATTGAGAGAAAAACAACAACAGAAAGTAAAATCAAGGAAAGCAAAATATGAACCAAGCTGGATGGTACCAACATCTTCACACGATGATATCTCAACTAAAGAAAAACCAACACTGAAATTACAGTCAGTTTTTGTTTATTTTTATGTTTGTCCTCACCTTATGAATATATTAAAATATTTCTTGATGTATATACCAACAGATATTTAAGAATATTCCAGTTATTAAAAATACAACAAAAGTTTCACTTTAATAATCTTACATCAATGTTTAAGTCCAATCATGCCATTGAAATTTCAAAATTCCTGTATTTTCTATTTTTATAATTTCTAACTATTAGGAGGGAGGAAAATTTCTTCAGTAATTTGTGTAAAGTTTGTAATAATGAATATTACCAAACCCTGTCCTTTGAATGAGGGGCTTATAAACCTCTTAATTGCAAGCCAGTCTACAAAAAAAAAGAACAGGTGTAGTTTGCAAAGTTTCATGTTGGACATTTCTCATTGAACAATGTTTCATGTTTAAATAAACCAATTAAAGTTGGTAAATGAAGACATTGAGAATAATTAACATTATACAAACCAACATAAAGCAATCTAAATCATTGTTTAAGGAAAACCATTTGTACCAGTTTGATTTTACATTGCAAATGATATTCAACATGAGATTTTAGAATTAAAAGTATTCAATTATGTATTTCTTTGATGTGCCTCATGCTAAAGTTAAAAAAAAAAAAAAAAAAATTGTCAGTAAGTTTTTTTTATGATAAGTATTGCTACCTGGCTTGCTATTCAGCTGGTTCACTTGTTTAGAAGTTAAACAAAACCACTTTTTATAATATATACTTTTCTTTTCCATAGGCTTGAATCAGGATCAGTGACTTATGAGGTAGAAAAATCATCAGAGAAACGAAATGACAAACGAAATTATTGTGAACTTCAGAAACTAGAAGACTCCATCAAAACATGGCTGCAGTGTGACAAAGCAAGCAATACAGTGAGAATTGCACAGCTAAGAAGATTGGATCCTCAGGTGAATAAAATAGCAAATGTTTAGAAGACTTAAATGACAAATTTAATCATTTTCCTTGTATTATCCTTTAATTATAAAAAGTATTAAGTTTTTTGATTGGGTAGAAAAGAGAAAAATTGTCAGCCTGATCAAGAAGCTCTTCAAGAAAATAATAATTTTGTCATTTTCTTACTTGATCAGGTTTTATAATGTGAGTCAAGCAAGAAACTTTTCAGCAGCTCTTCACACAATATGGAACATCTTCAAATTAAACCTACTTTAGCTGCTGTCAAATTGTCAGCTAAATGATCAAAATACATATATATCATAAACATGGTCAATTTTAATTTTACCTGATAGGAAAATCAGAGTGACTATAGAAAAATATGAGAAAATGACAACACAGAAAAATAGTAAAAATTTTTGTTAAATAAAAAAAAAAGGAAAGTTATATTGTACTATTGGCTATTTTTATTTTTTTGTATAGTTGATCTATTAAAATGGGAAAAATCTACAAGCTTTAACTATATTTATCAAATGATCAGATTTTGCACTCAGTTTATAAACAGTAACAGTTTGTAGTTTAGATTGGAAATCATATGTTAGATACGTTTTACATTTGTGAAAATTATATAGAATATTGAAAATTTAAATTTTTGGCAATATTTTAAATTTCCTATAAAAATCTTTGTAGTAACAGAAATTTATTGATTTGTGGGATATTTTGTAAAAATGTAAAATTTTATAGAAATTCCTTCACTTTATGAACTATATTATTAACTGAGATTTATATTTTAGTTTCACTACTACTTACGAAATAATTAAGTATATTTGTAGATCTTGAATACTTTTCAAATTCTATACACAGAATCTTATTAAAATAAAAAAGTTAAGGGTTATAAATATATTCAATATATGAAAAGTTGATAAAACTTCAGAGTGTGTGTATTAATGCACTTTAGACATTCTTCCATATTGTATAAGTGTTTTAGAAATTTATGTCAAAAAAATAATTATATTGATCAAAATGAAATTTGATGCTATTTGTGGAGATTATAATGTTAGAAGTCAACACAATTCAAATTGATTCCAATTTTGTTTTATCTTTAATAATGAAAATCTATAAAATAATTTAAGATTCTCATGCTTTTAAAAGTTGAAGAAATTTACTGTTGTAAATAGCAATTTAATTTTAATTCCATGAAAATTTGTTTTGTTTTCAGTCAATGAAATTGAAGCCAAAACCAGGATATAAAATGTATGTTCGGCATCAAAAAACAAGTAGAAACATTTATGATTTTGATATGGATGAAACAGATGAACAGAAGTTAGAGAAATGGAGGTTTTTACTGACATATTAGGAACATCCTCCATTTTTAATTGGCATGGAAGGCATAGGCAGTATTTATAGAGTTGAATTTTGTTTTAAGAAAAATAACCGGATTTTTTCTTCTTTCAGATCTTATTCAGTCTAAATAAAAATGTATGTCAAATTTCCAAAGAAAATTTTGTTTGAAGTTTTAACTCAAAAAAATTAAAAGTGGATTGTATCATCATTTCTAACTTGAGTTTATGTACCACTTGGTGTTGACTTCAGTGTACACTTTTTATATATTTTAAATATAGGATGAGATATATAAATTGTTGCTATTTCATATTTTTAATTTTTTGTATGCATGTTTGTTTTTGATTTTGTTGACTGCACAGTATAGTAGGGTCAGTTGGGCACCATCTCTGAGGAAAAGAGCACCAGGACAATTCATTCTGCCAGAAATTTAGAAATAGCATGCTTTACTGTTTGGCATTCACACTGGAAGCTCCAATATGAACATTTCAGAGTGTTTGGGTGTCAGTCTGAGTACAGTGCAGAAGATTTGGAAAGAGTTGGATGTGTCTAATGGTTATTACGAAGATACCGCAGCTCGGACAAACTCACCGATTGTTCTGATAAGAAAAGAACTCCAGAGTTTGTTGGAGAGGGCCTGAGACTCAACATGGGGGCCTCCATCAAGTGCCTAAGGGTAGTGCTGCTCTGGGTCAAGAGAGTGGCTGCTGGAAGACCCTATGTCTGACAACAAGACTCTGCAACATTCCACATAAGCAGGAAAACCCTGTCATAGCTGTCAGACAATTTCTGCGACCATATCTACTCTTACATCTGGCAACCTAACTCCCCAGACTGCAAGCACCTTGATTATTATGTGCAGGGTACAGCTGAGTGAGAGTAACAAAACTCCTTGTAACACTAAAAAAGGCAAGGATTATGGCAGCATTCACCAACTTAAACAAGGAAACTGTCCAGAAGAGTTGCAGGAGATTCTGAAGTTTTCTGGAGGCTGTGGTTGAAGCCAATGGTGATTTTATTGAATAAATTTACTCTTTAGTATTTCAAGATATTTTAAAATAATTTTGGTAAATATATCTGTTAAAAAGGGATGTCAATGTTATTTTCATTTTTGTGTAATTTAGACAATTTATCCATCGCATCCTGTGTAAATATGAGAGAGAGTAAGTTTATAAACTAATGCTTGAAAAAAACAAAAAAAACAAAAAAGAATTCAGCATTTGGTGTCTGTTGTTGCCATTTTCAGTGCAGCTTTTAATCATCCAATTGCATATTTCAAATTATATAAACTTATTTAAATTTTTCATCAACCCTGAAGAATATCAACTGATTTTTTGGCATTTTAATGTATGTTAGTAACTTGTTCTGTTTAAAATTTAAGTTGCTGGTCAATGCTACAATTAAAAAAAAATGATTTTTCAGTGAGTCATAACATTAACATATCAAAAGTAATAATTGTTTATTGACCCACTAAAAAAACAAAAAACAAAACACAAGTCAACTTGGAAGCATTTTGACCTTATTAGATTTAGTTTTTATGTTGAAAAAGTAACAGGATAAAATTGTAAAACAGCTTTTCTAAACCTCAATTATAGTTTGATTACATTGTAATAGCCACTTTCAACAATCAAACAATAAAATCTACCTTAAAATGGAGAAAGAGGTTTTCATCTTTTAAACTTTCAGATTATATATATTAAAATAATGAAATTCTGAAAGATTTTCTAAATGGAAAATTGACATGTAAAATATTAAGTAATCTTGAAAAAAATTTCTCTTGTTAATTATAAAAGACTAAAAGAATTATTTATGCTCTTTAATCTTAAAAGTATTTCTGCAACTTGTTTATTGCTATTAGTTCATACACAAAACTTCTATAACTGAAATTCTCATTTTCATTCTCACTATTAGAAAATTAGTTATGAATTTGAGTTTTTTTTTTAATTCTGATATCTCAAAAAAATAAATAAATAAAAAAAAATAAAAATAAAAATATAAAGTCTTAAAAACTTTCTTAGAACAAAATTTATTGCTACATGAATGTATTTTCCCCTCCTCTTTTTCATGGCACCATTCAGAAAACATTCTTAGGGCACAATTTAAATAACTCACCATTGGTATCTTGAAGAATAGAAAATAAGACTAGCATGCATGTGCACACACACACACAATTTACTATAAAAAATTATAGGAGGTAGAAAAGTAAAAAAATTGAGTCAAAGATTTTATCATAAACTGATTTAATTCAAAAAGAGGACAATGTAACCCCTAACCTCGTCATTCTTTACTCTAAATGTTCACATACTGGGAGGAAAAGAGTCTGTCTTGAAGTTTGTGTAGCAGCCCAACCCACAGCCTAATTTGATATTAAATGTTACTGATCATTATAAAATGAAAAAAATCTATTCCAATCATCATATTTTTGTCATTTTTATTATCACCTTTTCTTTTTTTTTTAAATTTTTAAAAAATTTTTTTCCATCAATTACCAGCCAAAAAAAAAAAAAAAAGTTATAGCTAGCCAGTGGCTGAATCCATCATTAACATAAAAGGCTGGAACATGAAAAAGTAACCACAAGTGGATGTTAGATAGTGGATTGAACCCACATTTTGTCAGTATCCACTAGAAAAAAAAAAAAAAATCATCCCTAGATGGCCAGGCCAAGTCTCCCGGTCAGTGGCAGACAGAAAGGGAAGCACCAAAGATACACCAAGATTAAAATTGTACAAGAGTAGAATTGTAGGGAGATTTTCTAGGTTATAAGTTGGTTTGAAAATAACTGGAAATATATTCTGGCAAAAGGAGTTTAGGATCCCAAAGTAGAATTGCTGAAGTCCGAGAGGTTAGTGTATTTTTGTTTGCCATAAAGTGTGTACTGCTGGGCTGGTTGTATAAAGGAGGAAGAATAAGTAGAAGGCCTCAGTTGAGGAGTTGTAAGTGAGTGATAGGGACCTTGCCACGTTGGTGACCCTTCTCGGCCATCATATAATCAGCACCCAAAGAAGGGAGGTGATGAACACATATTAACTGAAAAATAAAAATAAAAATTATTTTTTATGTAAACATTTGAAAACAAGAAATAAAGAATAAGATAAACATGAACTAGTTGGTTTCATCAAAATATTTCAGCACATTGAATGAAATTAAAAAAAGTAAAAGATTCATTTTTTTTTTTTTTTTAAATTCTAAAGACATTAAGTAATTAAAATTAAGAAGTAAAGAGTTCAAAGAGTTGGATATAGGTTAATGTGGCTTATTTTGAAAGGGATATTAAAATATATTTTGATGGAATCTAAAGCCAAATAAGGATCATTAAAGATATGTCCAGATTTGATTTGAGAAAAGATTAAATTAGTTGGATTTTAAATTGTTCATAATATTACAAGATATTCTAACAAAGAAATATCAAATAAGCTTTTAATATTTTTGGTGGATTAAATAAAAATTGAATAAAATTATTATCATAAATGAATTTATTCAATCTGGTATCCTCATCTTGGTTGTTAGATTCACATTTTAATTAATGTATCTCCTGGCCTTCTTCAGATGCCTGTTGTAGTTAATCATTTTGTGGTAGTTTTGAACTGAACCCATTATTCAAACCATTGAACTGGAAGTGTTCTTATTCCCCTGATAAAGGATACACCATTTTTATGATGCTACTTCTCTGCTTTTATTTATTGTCTGACCCAGAGATTGAACTCACAACCACCAGCAAAACAAAAAAGCATATATCCACTATGATAATCATCTGATGAAATTTTGGAGCCTTATATATAATATCTATTCTTTCTTGATAGAAGGTTCTCATATATTATTTAATTCTCGATTTGGACTACTGAAGATGTTTGTCAGAGCCTAGAGTTTTATTCTTCAATATTGTTCACAATTATTCAAATTAATTAAACCTCAAGCATGAATAACATAATAAAGAATCTATGCTTGTGGTTTGAATAAATGCTTTGGTCTAAAATTACCAAATACAACAAGCATCTGAATGAGGCACAACAGCCAAAATATCATGGCAATCAAGATGAGAACAATAGTTCAAATAAATCTATCTGGAATAATGATACATTTCTGAAATGAAAGATTCAAACATAAGTGATAAAGTTACTTGTACACAAAAAGATTTATATGGCATTGTTGTTCACCTGATATTCTCAATTTGACACCATTTGTAACATTTGTCATATTACAATAGTAGATAAATCTCTTTGGGTAATCTTTAATGTGTTTGGGAAAAATCAGTGTGAATCCAAAATGAAATCCAAATAGTTTCAAATAGCAAGAGATACATCAAAATATAAGAATGAATATTTAAAAAAAAGATGCTAAATGAAGTGATCAATTTTATAAGCAACAGAAATTAAAAACTTTCAAATTTTAAAATGATCTACAAAGCTCATTCAGTTATTAGGCTGACAGTTTGTTTTCAACTAAAATTTATTTCTGATTATAAAAATATTTCAATCAGTTGTACGGATCTAATAAAAATGGCAAATATATAAAGTGTAATAATCTCTGCTAATAAATCTGTTTGAATAATTCAAAATAGCTTTTGGTTAATTTGACAATAAAAAATATTGTGGACTTGTATCTATTTGCCTTCAAGTATAAGAAATTTCAACATGACCAAAAATAAAGTGTTTTATCATTCCTTATCAGAAGAACAATTTACTTGAAACTTATTTCAAATATATATTATCAGTTATTGATACAAAAATTATGTAGACAATTATTAAAAGACAAAAATCAAGTTGATTTATATTTAGTTGATCAATTTTGTAATCTTCATCATGGTAAAGCAAGGGAAAAATTGATTTCAGCAAAAAAGTTGTCCGTTTCATAAAGTAACTATAATTTTCTTCTTCATGTTAAAATGTTTTACAAAAAATATAATCAGATAATGAAAATTCGATTAAAAATTCCTTTATTGAAATTTTTTACAGTCAGATTAAAAATGTATTGCAGACTGTCACTCAAACAAAATATCAGATTACAATTTACTGGTG